GAAAGGACAAGCAGACCAGCCTGGAGCAGCTAGAAGAACAGAAGATACTTCTTGAAAGAAAGACCCACAGAAAAATACAAAACAGTAACGGCAGTCCAACTGATTACTACAAGAACAAGCAAGTTTCTCGCCCTGGAGACATCAAGGCAAGTGGTCAGGTCCCCTCAGGGCAAACTCCCTTCCAAGACTACACGAGCAGACATGTGGTCTGACTGGTGACCATGTTGGTCACTGATAAGGGGAAGTGGGGGGAGTAAGTGACATAGCCACAGAGGACTAGAGTGTAGAGTGGAGCATCCAGCTGATAAGTAGTGAGGGGAGATGCACAAGAACACCCACACTTGACCTGGCTTCAATGGCTAGATGATCAGAACTCAACCAGAAGCAGAAAAAAAGAGGAAAAAAAAGAGAAATCTGATACAATTTGATTAATTTGACCTATACCTATGGATGCATTAACTCAAAAGAGGGAACAAATCTTTATAGTGAGGATCATTCCCACCCCCTCAGTACACAGGGTAGATATTTGGGGCATTGGCTACCCAAAATGAGGGGCTACAAAGGCAAAAAGTGACTGGCTTACAAGCTTTCAAGAGGGAGCCTAGTCAGTCTGATTACCACAAGAACAAGCAAGCTATTCACCTGGGAGCCATCAAGGCAAGAGATCGGGTCCCTTCAGAACAAACCCCCTTCCAAGACTCAAGGGGAATACACGAACAGGCATGTGGTCTGGCTGGTGACCATGTTGGTCACCGATAAGGGGAAGTGGGGGAAAAACAGCAATGAAGTTGTGAGCTAAGTCCTACCACATTCAATAGACTCCTGTGAACTTGGGTGGAGACATGGTTGGCCAGCAGTATGGCAAGACCTGGGGACTCCTGGGCCCAGAGACAGTGACATAGCCACAGAGGACTAGAGTGGAGAGTGAAGCATCCAGCAGATATGAAGTGAGGACAGATGTACAAGAACACCCATACTTGCAGATAGTACCCACTTGATCTGGCTTCAATGGTTGGATAATCAGAACTTGACTAGAAGAATGAAGAGGGAAAAAAAAGAGTAATCTGCTACAATTTGATGAACTTTACCTATACCTATGGATGAAGTAGCTCAAAACAGTGAACAAATCTTTATAGCAAGGATCATACCCACCCCCTCAGTACACAGGGTTGACAGGGATGGGCAACTTAGACACTGGCTACCCAAAATGGGGGGGGCTACAAAAGCAAGAACTGACTGACTTACAAGCTTTCAAGAGGGAGCCTAGTTCCAGAGTATGCAGGGGAAAGTAGAATCTCCACTGAATGGTTTCTAATCTGTCTGGATGGAGCTGGTGAAAGGAGATGGGGATAAGACTCTTGTGATACAACAGTGAATAATTGTTATCAGGACTGACTGTGAGGGTTGGAAATATAAAGGTAGACATTCTGTAGCAAAAGGAGGGGAGTGATTGACTTTGCAGTCCAGGAGCAGAGGTCCCTGCGACCATCAAGTGAGAAGAGCAGAGTGTGGGACCCTATCCAGAGAAGCAATGATGCTAGAGATGGAGGTAGAGATGATGATATGGAGAGATGGAGTGGCTGGAGACTTTAGACCCAGGCAGGGAAAGGGGCTGTGTGCTGATGACCGAGGGACAGGCTTGTAGGGTATACCCTTTGGTTGTTTGATGATGCATAGAAAGGATAGTAATTATGGCAATGAAATGATATGTGATTGGATGAATGTAAAGCTAATGTTTTCCCATGTAAACTATCACATAATTCTCAATTAAAAAAAAAAGATTTTCTGTTGAAATCGCTAGCCCAAGGTGTAACCTGAGTGAGGCCCCAGAGCAGCCTCAGTCTCCAGAGCAGACAGATCTCTGCTTACCAGAATCCACATGTTGCTTCAATCTAAGCTGTGGACTGTCACACTTCAAACTTTGAGCTGTGGTCTCCTGAGGGTTGGGGGCAAGCAGGAGGAGTGTGAATGGGAAGTTTCTTTTGACTCGACACAATTCCCATTGCTTCATTTATTTTTACACTGACAGTATGTTCATGGACTACTTCAAACACTAAACTAAATCAAATCAATAAACAGCCCAAAAGGAAAGGAAGTCAATGTCCCCAAAGTACGAGTCAGTGGGCTTTCTGATGAACATGGAATTAGCTGGAAGCATAGTGCAATGAGCAGGTGCCTGCTCTTTCTAGCTGAGCAGATGGCTACATGACTCAGAAGAGAACCAGACATTCTCAAAGTTCTCCTCTCTATGACCAACACAACTCAGTCTCTTTCAGTGCTCTCTTCTAGTTTTTTGACATTAAGGGCCAAGAACTTCTACAGTTGTTGTTGTTAAGTGCTGTCAAGTCCAATCTGATTCATAGCGACTCTGTATAAATTTCCAAAGAGTGGTTGGTGGTTTTGAACCACTGACTTTTTGGTTAGCAGTCCAGTGCCGGTTTTACAGGGCCACACCAGGACTCCAAGAACACCATAACTCCAGTCCCTGGGTGCCTTTCAGGCCTCAGGAGTGAGCCCATGCGTTCATGCTGAGCTCACCTTCAGGCAGCCCTGGGTGCTCATTACATGCAACCAGATCTGACCTCATCCCTGCACCCGCTCACGAGCATACTCTGAAATCCAGACCCTAACCTTCCTCAGCTTGAGAGCCCAGACAGCTTCTGAGGAGCCACGTGTTTAGTGCAAAGGTCAGTATTTTTGCCAATCCCTTAAAACCCCCTTCCCCATTCCTCCCCACCTCCACCCTGATCGAAATAACAGAAAATGGGCACTTAGCCACTGCTGTAGCTATCCATTGAGTGTGTCCCCGCCACGCCAGCTCATTAATCACCCTGAGGCCCGGTGCTCGCTTACCTGCAGATGTAATTCGTCTTGCAGGAGTCCTGCAAGTTCAAGCAGTTGGGCTTCTCCCTTTCTTCATAGGAGCACACCGGCACAATGGTCTGCCGCCTGCGCTCCGTACAGGCGATGTCACGGCAGGAACAGAAGAGCATGCCATAGCTGTGCTTGGCAGGAACCTTGTCGAAGAATTGCCGCAGGGCCTTGTGGCACTTGCGTCGGTTGCAGACTTCATTGGACATGCTGGTGGTGCACGGGGTGATGTACGCTGACCTGTACTTCTTGCAGGTGTCATCGAGGTTGCAGGCCTTGGCTGCATCCAGGCAGTTGTTCCCCTTGGGTATGTGCTCCACTGCAAAGGAAGAGAAAGCAGCAGCCCTGGTCACCATGCTCAACCCCCTGGACGCTCTCATCTACTCCCTTCACAGCGAGGTCTTGCCATTTCCTTGGCAATGCTGGGTGCACTGAATGACTCACTTCGGCGTTTCAAAGCTAATAACGGAATGAGTTCATATCATGGAACAAACGCTAACAGTGCATGTGCCGGGAGCCCAGGGCAACAGCGCACAAATGATGCACATTCTCTGGGATGTGTAATTAGGAGGCATTACTAAGTGACTCGATGGCACTTCACAACAACAACTAAGTGGGGTAAAAGGAGCTCAGGCACCTGCCCAACAACAGACAAACAATGTACCAGGAGACTACGTTTCCAGTGCCTGGTTGGTAAACTGAAATGAGGGTAACAGAAAGCAGTAACAAATTATATACTTGTTCATTATACAGTGTATAAAATGATATGCTGAACGCAAGTATAATTGCCATGCAATCCTCCAGGAATATAATTATGTAATAAATGCATATAGTACATGCTAATTACTATATGATTACAGAGTAATTACATGGTTATTGGAGCCCAGAAGACAAAATATTATGCCAGGCTCTCTGAACAGGAAGAAGCAGCTTCGTGGAAGCTGTATTTAAGTTCAAAGCTCATAGACCATTGAAAGGAAGCCAGAATCAATGGCCCCCAAATTTGCAAACCTCAATTACCACCTAACTCGCAACAGCACACCAGAATGTGGGATCAACAAGTGCTGAAGTTTCAGATTAGAGAAAGTCAGCTAGCACTTTGGAGAGCATTCCCACAAGCTTACGACCCATGATACACAAAGCCCACGCAGCCCAGCTCCTCTGTGCTCGGAGAGTCAGACAAGCCGCACTGTCCACAAGACGGTCTGCAGAGTGAACCACCATAGAGGCCAGGCCCACAGCGGAGGCGTTGAATGGACTGGCCAGGGAAACAGGTTCCTGGGTGGTTCAAGCAGTTTGAGATTGGCTGCTAACCTAGAGGCTGGTAGTTGAAACCCACCCAGTGGCGCCTTGGAAGAAAGAGAGCAGTGAAGAAAACCCTGTGGAATCATTCTGCTCTGTAAAAACCTGTGGGATCAAGATGTGCTGCAATGGACTCCACACAATGAGGGGTTTCTGTTTGGGGTTAGGGGCAAGGCCAATGACCAAGAGAAACGAAGACTGGGCAGAAC